ATACAACTTGCAACAAGTAACAGTATAAATCTTTGGCTGCTTTTGAGCTGTTACTTCACCAGAGAGCTTAGGCTCAAAAATTAGTTCCTGGGGCAGCATCTTGACCATTCCCACTCTGTAACAGTCATGAAATCAGCCTTCCCCAACCTGGTGCCCTACTGGGGAAGAAGCTCAACATGCTGTACTTGTGCATCAATTCCATCTGGAGGGTCTCCCATCCGGTCCGATGGAACAGAAATGAGGCTGTATTTGACTGAGACAAACAGGTATGCAAGATTTTTTTTTCAACTTCATGGCTCTACAAAATGTCAAGAAAGAGCTTTGAGGCTGTGTGTGTGAGGCAACCAAAGATTTCTTCCTAACAGTGAAGATACATTCAGTGAGTTATATTCCCTGCAAAGCTCAGTGCTAAAGTTTGTTGTCTGGCTCTTGTGGAAGTTCAATTGAAAGTTGGCCCGTCCTGGGTATATATAAGAGCCACCTATTATTTATATGTAAGATTTAGATTTTCAAGCCACACCCCTCCCCTCCACTTTCTTCCCTTGTTTTTCTCTGGAGTTTGGAGACTGCGGTGCTGGCAGACAGAGGCGGCATTGTGCAGAGGGGAGGACTGCACCCTTTCATTCCACATCCTTTGGCAGGAGCCATAAACGGTATGCTCTTTTCCAGACACTGAGCTGCTGTTCAGGAAGGGAGCCGTGGATGAGCTCACTTGGAGAAGCTCTCCTTAAATGCTTTTATGAGAGAGAGCGTGTGTGAGAGAGGGAGAAAGAAAACTGTTTCGAGCCAATACATTTATATTGCTTTCTTTTGCAAAGGTATACATTAATGCAATGTGCTGGTTTTCATTAGCAAAGCATCTTATATGCCTCTGTATTAAGCATTTTCTCCAGTCCAGTTGTGCAGATCAGAGAAACTTTCCATTGGCTGAAGAATTCAAACTAGTCAGCTAATCAAGTCTCAGGGCGATGGTTTAACTCAGTCTTCCCCACATGCTGTAGATGTGTTGCATTACAACATCCACCACTCTCATCTAGCACATTCCCTGACAGAAGGCTGGCTAGGGATTGTGGGGTTCACAGTCCAGCACACCTGAAAGGCTGACTTAAAGACTGTCAACTTTTTTTTATATCAGGGTTGCAGAGCACACCCCCCCCCCGCTTCCTTCCAAGTGTTGCTGAAGTAGTTCCCAAGCATTCTTAGCTCTCTGGTTGAGACTGCAGATAATTCAACATCTAGAAAGTTGTTTCCCTCCACTTGTTTTTAGCGCACTGTGGTTCTTAGTATGTATTCGTTCACACTTACTTTTACACCTGGTTTCTGTTAACTATTCAGTTCTGGGACATGAATGAATACATTAAGAACAAAAATAGGTGTCTGAACATAAACACATTGTAGCCCCAGATTTTTCTGCATCTCAGCAGAGAATAACACAGATTTCTTGAAGATTAGAAGGCACTACTTCCTGTGTCTCAGAAAGAAATGACACTATAGGTGAGTAGAAACAGTATTGTATTTTCTTAGTTGCAGAGGTAAAGATGAGGCACTCTGGACATAGCCAGGAACCCAGTAATCTTTATGGTTACTTTCAACATCCCAGTGCGGGCTTCTGACTTTAGAAATGGATTCCCAAATCAGTATTAATGCTGCTCCTGATGATTGTCTGCCAGAGAGGAAATTTCAGGAGCACAGCATTTTTGAGCCTCTCTCAAATGAGCAGATCAGAGGAGGCACGATAAACTGCTGATCCAGAACTCAGAAGCCATACCACAGTTCCACCTGCTTTCTTTTTCCTCTGGAGTCCATTGGCTGAATTAACCTAAAACAGCCCAGATGTTTTGGGAATGTAATGCTGGTGGGATTGGAAATTTGTCCTGGGGGGTTTAGCCGTGGTTGAGAGCGGTTGATTGTTTTAGCAATGGAGGGGTCTGGATTTTTCTTTGAGCAAAAAAGCCTTGCTCTTCCTCCAAAGCACGTGCTTGTGCAGCAAAAGCCCCAGCAGGTGGTCTGGATGAAGTTTTGATCTAGTGACAGTGTTGCATGTATGTCTCTAGAGCAAAGGGTGTATTTCTTTGTTTGGTGAGGATTGTATATTCTGAGCATAGTCATAGTGCATTGTCAAAGTGAAGTATGAGGTGAAAAAGGGCCCCTATCTGAAACACTTGCAATTTACATTTAGGGAGGAAGGTAAGCTCGCCCAAAAGTGTTTGGGTCCAGGAAAATAAAATTTTCAATGAGTTTGAATCCTGGTCACTTCATGGATACAACTCTGCCATTGTCTTCTTCCAGATTATTTTCTTTGACTTCCCCTGCTACCCCATATCCAGTTTAGCCCAGATTCAAGAACTAACCCGGTCCTCCTGCTTAGCTTTTGGGGATCCACTAAGGTTGATAAATGCAGCCCTTTCTCTGTCCCAGTTAAGCTTGTTGTCTGAATAGTGCCTCACCTTGCATATGAAAGGAAAAAGAAAAAAGACAACCTCTGTCTTCTCCCGTCTCTCAAGGGCTTGGGATCCCCTTTAACATTGATGTGAAAAGACCTCAGATCTTTCGTGGGCCTCAGGAAGCTCAGTTTGGCTACAAAGTCCTGCAGTTCACAGCCCAGGGACAAAAATGGTAAGTCTGTGCAGCTGTTTTGTGGCTGCTGCTTTACTGTTTTGTTGTTGTTACTCATTTGCTTCCCCCCCTCCAAGAAACAACAATAAAGAAACCTATGGTATTTCAAAGACTCAAAATATATTATAGTAAATAGACTATCGTATTATCTTGAGGGAGGAATATGTAACATGCACACATATACAACTTGCAACAAGTAACAGTATAAAACATTTCTCTAAAAAAGCAAAATGGCAGCAGAAAAAAGCCCATGGGAATTTTACAAAAATAATATATTAAAAACAGCACTGGATCTTGTAGCAAGCCAATTAAAAGCCAGACATCTTTTTAAAAATAATTAATAGATTAATGGAAAGAGTGGGACAATGGAAGAGCTAAATGGTCCAATCTGTGATTTCCATTCAAAGGTCAAAGAAAACTCCCTAAGAAACGAGGCCATTGGCTGGTTTGGAAGATAGCCTGGAAGGAAGTGAGGTAGACTTTTCTTAGAGGCCTAGTTCCCAAATTCAGGTCCCAAAGGGCTCTGGGATAAACGCAATACACAGGCAGGCTGTATGGGAGGAGACATTGATCCAACTGTTGGGTCTGCAGTGAAGTGGAAGAGGCAGCACGGAATGCATGCAAAGCTCCCCCCTCCCTTTGCCTGTGCCTTTGGGGGCGGTTCTCATTGCTGGCACCACCACACTCTTTGTGGCTGGGAATTCAGCACAGCCAACTGCCAAAGTTGAAGCCAAATGAAGTGGGGACGCTTGTTCTCCAAGCTCTGAGCATCACTGGTGGTCCACAGCCAGTCTGACTTCGCTACAATGCTAGGGGCATATGCCACTGCACAGGATAAGAAAAGAAGAATCAACTGTAGAAAGGCAAGAATTTCCTTCAAACATTTTTCCTTTCCTGGATGGTAGTTTGTGCAGCATTCCATAGGATCCTAGAGTTCCCATATTCAGAGCAGGAATCCAAATTAAATAATCTTTGACAAGTAGCTCTCCAGCTGCTCCTTGAGTGTTTCTGGCAAAGGAGCCACCACCTCTATAAGTAATTCTTCTAAGGATATGTTTTCTTGGTTCTTCCAAGTTTCCCCTCATTTCTGAACATTCTGGCCCATATCCGTCATACCTCTTATAGCACAAGCAAGTTTTCAAAGGCTTCTGTTTCTAATCTAGATGCTTAGTCACTCCTTGGTATTTCTTCCCATCTCCCACTCATTCAGGTTCTGGAATCTTGCTGGATTCATGCAACCAGCTCAACTTGGTTACAGAATAACCCCATTTTCTGGGACTGTACAATATATTGAATCATAAACTACTCAACTGGGCAGGTTGCACAACATGGTCAGCCATAAAAAAAACTAATTAAGGTTCTAAGTAAGGTTAGATGTGGAGGTGCAGCTCTGAGGCCAAAGAGTTGTTGTAAATCTCAAGTTTTGCATTTGGGTAGCACAGGATGGCCATCCCTTGGGAAGCTGGACTAGTGGATTCCTACACTGGGTAGGGGCTGGTCCATGTGGGGTAATTTTCATCTTTATATTCCACAACCATTTATTTCCTGGTTCCTTCCCCAGGGGCCCATTAGGAAACCTCTGCTTCTTTTGATGGAAAGCAGTGTTGTCACCCTGAGAGGTGTGGACCCTGGGCAAATGGCAGTATACAGAAGGAGAGTTGGGGAGGCTCCTGTCCTTTTCTGAGGCCAGGAGGGGGAGAGGCAAATGGCTGGGTCAGGCTGGGGGCTTGCAAGACAGTCCCACTTGGGAAGCATCCTGTTTTGGACATCTTCAGATGGGGATGAGACAGACAACGGGGATATTGGAATAGGGAAAGAGAGGGTGTTGTAACTCTGTTGGGGAGGATGTGATAGGAAGACTATCATTAGGTTTGAGGAGCAGCCTGAGCTGGTCCTCCGGAACGTCCCTTTTCACAAAGTCTGAAAATGCCAGATTTGATTCTCCTGCCATCCAGTTTTGGGACATCAGCTTTCTTGCCAATCTCAAGCCTTCAGTTCTGCTTTTTGAATCATTAAGGACATTCTGAGCTGTCTTCTGGATTTCCCCAGTCAAAACATCAGCTATTTCATAAAATATTTAATAAAATACAAAAAGAACAATTGGCAGCATTCCTTCTGTGAGTGCTGTCTGAAAATAATTCAGGGATGAATGGAGGTGGGAGAACAGAGCCACTGGTCCAACCTGTGATCTGGGTCCAAAGATCAAACAGGAGCAGGAAATACTGACCTGCTTGGAGACAGTGAGCAACATTTTGGGCTGCTGTCCCACTATGGCAAAAAGCCGCAAGGTTGGAATGGGTTTGGTGAATGGGTTCAGCAGATGGGGCAGGAAATGGGATGAGTCATAAAGTAGGAAATCATAGGAACAAGATGGTGGGAATCTCGATGTTCAGCTTGAAGATGGGATGCTGCAGAAGAAGAAAGCTGAGATTAAGTGACCAACCAATAAGAAAAAAGTATCCTCGTGGCTTATGGTTGTTTGTAATAGGAAATTGTTGTTCCTCTTATTTTATTTTCCAGTATACCTCCTCTCCAGTTAAAAAATCCCAACTCTTTATTTCTTTGTTTGGTTAGTTATTAGGTGCCATCAAGTTGGGCCCAATTTTGGGTGAACAGATGGACAAAACCCTTGTTCTGTCCTTGGAGACAATCCCCAGCCTTTGAGAAACACTCCTGAGGTCTCCTGCATCCGGGCATCCATTGATCCATTGTCCTTCCATTCCTCTATTTCCCTCACGCTCTCCACACATCCTTTTTTCTGTCCATTGTCCACTCTCTTTACATGCCCCGAATTTATGAGCTTCTCCAGCCAGCGCTCATTTGGTCCAGGACTGATTGGTTCTTCTTGTCCTGTTACTAACAGTTTCCATATCCATAGTTAGAAAGTGTTGGTCTTCTTCCTCTTTCTTGATATCTGACCTTTGTTGTCAATGAAATGTCCTCATTTTTTGTAATCTTCTGTCAATGTCTTCCTTCCATATGTTCGTCTTCTCTTTACTTTTCCTGTCCACTGTTTATCTCTTCTTGAGCTGTCTACTGCTTGTACTACATCACTGTCAGCTCTGTAATGCAGGCAAATTCTGCAGGATTGACGTAGAATTGTGAATTTGTGCTTTTCCAGCAGCCTGAACCAGCCTGGTCAGTGGGAAGGGATGCTAGATGTAGTTCTCCATCATCTAGAAGGTCATAGGCTTCCCTATCTGGAAGTGAGTGCTTGTAAAGGCGAGTGAAAGTGCTTGTAAAGGCGAGTGCTTTCCTGCTTTCAGAGCTTGGTCCCCCACCCTCAAAATAAGCAAGGAAAAACCAGTTGGAAATTGAGGAGCTCAGGATAATAGGATGGTTTCAGTTGGGGAATTTCCAACATTTATTGTAGAAACCAAAGGACCTTAACTTAGTTCAGGGGTACACTGGTAAAAAATGGAACCAGCTGCTCAAAGTTCATCTCCTCTGTGCACTTAGAACTTATTGGGATGGGGGGTAGTGTTAAAAAGGGTTCTGCCTCTTTTATAGCCCTAGGAAGCAATGAAATGTTGCAGCTGTAACAAAGCAGAATCCCCAAAAATGAACAAAGAAAAAACCCTACAGGTTTCTCTCAGAAGTACTTTCTTTTCCCCTAAGATAAGTTCATCGTGTTACTAGAACCTGGGAGGAATATGTGGGTTACATTTTGGCAGCAATGAAGAATCAGGAGAATTGCAGATGAAAGGACAATATGTTTCTTGTGAATTTGGGGTGGGAATGGTGAGGTTGGCTGGATTATTTTTTTATACTCACATGAAAAACAGATCAGGCTGTTCAAAGACTTCATCCCTCTTTTTTCTATTCTCCAGGGCTTGTCCAAAAGCCAACATAAAACATGTCTACACAAGTGACCTAAGCTCATTTGAGAGCCATCCCCTCAGCCCACCCATCCTGGACTCTGGGAAATGTGGTGGTGGGGAGGAAGCTTCCTGGGTGTCCCCAGATACGGCTTTCCTGGTGCAACTGCAGTTTTATGGAGGAACCTGCCATTCCCTCCCATTTGTAACCCTCTCATGTTTGCCAGTGTACCTCCTATTGGTTTTATTTCGAGTTTTGGATGAGGCTTAATTTTGCCAGGTCTTTCTAACGCAGAGGCTTCTCTCTATAGGATGCTGGTGGGTGCGCCTTGGGATGGAACCGAAGGTGACCGGAAAGGTGATGTTTACAAGTGCATTGTAGGAGAGAGGAAAAATTCAACATGCGCCAAGATCAATATAGGTACAAAGTTTGAAATGTCTGTACCAGATTCAGTAGCATATAAACTAGTTGCTCATGGGAAGCAAAGGGGATAGCCCACCGACTTCTGGATTCTGCTCTGCGACCTGTTTTATGTAACCCAGCCTTGGTTATATAAAGAATCCTTGGGTTCAAAGGTGCTCTTTTGGCCGACTAGTGCCACCCCCCACCCCACCCCAAGCATCCTCAAGAAATATTTATCTAACCAGCCTATAAAGGGGATCCTGTTGCTTCCTGAAGTCACAGCTCTGCTGACAAACTGCTCTTAGGAAGTTTCCCCAAATATGTTTTCAATGTTTATGCTTTTGCGCCACTTCTTTTTTAAAACGTGGTGCCCAGAACTGGAGATGGGGTTTGACCAAGGCAGAATACAGTGGAATTGTTTCTTCCCATGAATTGGAAATTATACTAAAATTGTGTTTGCTTTTTTTAGCAGCTCCCTCATGCTACTGACTCATAGCTGTGATCAACAATTGTCAGGTCCTTTACACACAGACTACAATCAGGCCGCCCCCCCTGCTCCCCCCCTCAGGGTTTTGTGCCTTGAAACTTCTTCCATTCCTTTGCAACTGGAAGGAACTGAAGTCACAGAGTGAAGCAGTGGGGATGATGGGGGCTGGAAACAGACAGGTTTATGCATATAATTATATAGGAAAACATGATAGAAATGCACTTTCAGCCCTATCAAAAGATTGCATTTTCTATTTTTCCCCTTTTTTATCCTTCCTCCCCCCCCCCCCTCCCCCCTCCCCACCCCCCCTTCGCTGTCCTGCCCCGCTCATCCTACAACCCAAACCAAAACCACCAACATCTGGATGGCCTGG